CGGGAGGTCCAGGGACGGGAGGAACTCTCTGCTCTCCTCCCCGAGGGATGAGGAGAGGACAAGAGGACACTCAGCCCCAGCTCTGGGCACAGAAGCTCCAGGGACTGGAGGAATTCTTCGCTGCCCCGAGGGATGAGGAGAGGACAGGAGGACACTCAGATCCAGCTCTGGGCACAGGAGCTCCAGGGACTGGAGGAACTCTCTGCTCTCCTCCCCCGAGTAACTCTTATTTCTGAAAGACCTGGTACTTGTTCATTGTAGAATGTTCTCCTTGTGTAGCAGAAAACTCTTATTACTGTCACAAGCTCTGCATTAGAGTAACAAGGCATTCTTCGTGGAGATTCAAGTCTGAGGTTCACTTCTGCCTGTGCTTTGCTAGAACTGAGGCTCCATCAGTTTGCAGTGTGAATGCCACCCACGCTTGCTGACCAACTTTCACTCTGGTGATAACTGTATGTTAAATACATGGCTTTATTTAGAAATCTCAGTGGCATTTACATAGTTCCACTTCACAGCATTTACTGAACGGCAGTTGTGTTTCATGACAGTTTTATCACCCTACCTGTGGAAAACCTCAGCCTCCCAGACAGCAAATACAATGCAGGACCTCTCTGCTCCCCTCCCCAAGGCTCCCAGTTACCTGGTAGGATACATTGCCATGGAATTTTGCCCCAGGAACCGATGCGGAGTCAGAAGTCGCTTGGCTTGTCCATCGATGCCCCGTGGCTCCGGGCACGGACGCCTCCCGATCCGGATCTGCGGAGGGACAGTTTTTAGGGAACAGGGATCTCCCTATTGTCTCCTCACTCTGCTGGGAAAATCTCATGGGTTTCCTCCTCCATTTCCCAACTCCACCAATTCCCAACTCCCAACTCCACCAAGGAGACAGACCCCAATTCCCACCTGCCCCTCAGAGGACCCTGGAGACAGCACCACTATGAGCAGAGGAGGAACATTCCGGGGTTACCTGAAATCCAAGCTGCCCCTTGGAGCTGCCACGTCCTCCTCACCAGCCGAAGCCTCCGACCTTCATCTTGGGAGCTGCTGTTGGAAGAAAGGTCTGGAAGGGAAAGGGACACCTGTCAGTTCCCAAGTCCAGCCCAAAATGACCAAAGGTTTGGTCTTCGGCCTCCTCATCCTCCAGTTGGTGTTTGTAGGGAAGGGCAAGGAGGAGTCAAAACCTTGGGGAGCCTCAACGGGAGGAGCTTCAGGAGAAGCTTCAATGGGAGAAGCCTCAAGAGGAGAAGCCTCCAGATGACATGTGGGATGGGAGCCAAGGCCAAGGCCAAGGCCAAGGCCAAGGTCAGCAGCCACAGCTCCCAGAGTGGCCACCAGGAATTCAGCACCAGCTTTGGGAGTGAATATTCCCAAACTTTGAGAGGATTAACAGCAGCAGCTCCTGGACTGTCCCTCCCTGTGGAAGGGATGAGGTGCACACACCTCTAACACATGAGGAGGGAACAGGAACATCCCAA